ATAGTGCGCCTGATTCCAACAACAGTTGTACAACTTCATAATGTCCACACAAACTAGCCTTGATGTCATGTCAGCAGAGCGCCTCCCCGAGGAAAAGTGGCAAAGAGCACGGTGGGTAGCAAGAAGACGGAAAAACCCATACCAGAATCAAAGGAGTATAATCATATTGATCTTTTGCATTAATGTTTGCCCCCTCTTGAATCATCTCCTGACAGAGCTTGAGGTCTCCTCTTCTGCAAGCGTCGCATAGTCTCTGGAAATTGATGCTGAAGTCGAGGGGATTATCTTCCTTGAGAATACCTTCTTCGATCAGCCTCTTCTCGTCGTGGAGACTGAGCTCGAGTTGGTCCTTGCGTAAGAGTCCATTGGCACTCATGGTCCCGAAGTGATGCGAGTGAAACAAAGGCGGCAAATGGCAAACGGCAAATGGTCCGGGTGGTAGAAAGGCGTCGAGAGAAATGAGAAGCAAGAGGGAGTCGAGCAACAAATGAACGAGCGTCATTTCCCAATAATTTTATATCGCCGGATTGTCGGCATTAAGATTGATTAGATAAGATGGGATTTTTTCACGTGACGTGTCCCTTTTTGTCTCGCACACTGCCTTTCTTTCCCTATGAAATTTAGCCATGCAAGGCTGTATGTGTGTGTGTGTGTGGCCCAAAATTTCCCGCCCCCCTCTACCAATCTAGGAGGGAAAAGTGACACTCACCACTACCACTGCACAAAAGTCGACAGGGCCAGCACAATATTTCACCCGGCCTAGCCAAACCCACTTTGAGGCCAGGCCTACAACCTCGCAGATTCATCTTTCACAGCAGGCCAACACTTGTCGCTGCCCAGCATGGCTGAACAAGACGCTTTCCTTCATCTCACCCGCCCTCTGGGCCCCGTCGCAGTTGGCGCACAACCCACCACCGCCCCCCTCCGCGTCGTGATACAACCACAAGTGAGTGCAGAAAGAAGACAGTTCCATGACGGGACAAATTGGCTGATACCCTCCCCCCAAAGGCTCTCTTCTCGATACTAGACCACTGCATTCGTCGCCCACCAGACCAGCAGAGAGTCATTGGCACCTTGCTTGGTACCCGCTCCGACGCAGATGAATCCCAGGTCGTCGTCCACTCCTCCTTCGCCGTCAGCCACACCGAGACGACCGACCAGGTAGAGGTGGACATGGAATACCAAAAGGCCATGTTGGCGCTGCATCTGCGTGCGAACCCCAAGGAGGTCCTGGTGGGGTGGTACGCCACCAGCTCAGAGTTGAACACCTTTTCCGCCTTGATCCAGAACCACTACAGCAGCCAGGGCGAAGGCACCTTTCCATACCCGGCGGTCCACATCACGGTGTCGTGCCAGCCAGGCCAGGACATCGAGGTCAGGACGTACATTTCCTCGCCGGTGGGAGTGAGCCCCGAGAGAGCGGCCGACTCGGCGGCGTTCATTCCGATTCCCTACACTGTCAATTACGGCGAGGCCGACCGCGCAGGTCTGGAGGCGATTGGCTACGCAAAAGACTCGGAGAGCAGGACGACCACGATCCTCACAGAGATCGAGAGCCTCGAAAAGTCGCTCGAAGACACCCTGGGCATGCTGGATCGAGTGGGCAAGTACGTGGAAAACGTCATCGAAGAAGAGACAGAGCCGTCTACCGCGCTGGGCCAATTCCTCCTCAACACGCTGGCCTTGGCGCCCAAGGTCGACCCCGTCGATATCGAAAAGGACTTCAACAACCATATTCAAGACGTCTTGACGGTGTCGTACCTGGCCAACATGATTCGCACACAAATGGACTTGTCCAACAGACTGGCGACATCAGCATTGACGATGGGCGGCGGCGAAAGTGCCACCACAGAAAAGGAAGGACGGGGCGATCGCAGGCAGAACCGACAAGGTGGACAGACGAGGCAGAATAGGACAGAGAGCTTTTCTGTTGCTAATGCTTGAAAGGATCTCATGTGATGAAGGCAGCCTGTCTGAGACGGGTCGCTCTACATGAGGGTGGATACTGCATTGACTCCTGCTATGTAACGGGAGCCTCAATTCGTCCCAAAGGGACATCAAAAGCAACCTGAGTGATGACTGCATGAAAGAGTAGTCGAGATCTGCTCAAGACCACGCGCGCACTCTATCTCTGGGGGAGAAAATGACTGCAGAGCGTCATTCCGATCGACGGAGCCTCGCATCTGATAGTAGCCCACACACAGCAGATACCTGGGCACATAGATTGCCCGGCTCCGGTGGGGATTTTCACGAATAACATGGTGTATTGACTCGTCGTTCCTAGGGCGATTTTTTCCAGAACAATTTCACAGTGCCGTGTAAAGGGCCGGTATGCTGGACGCATAGTCGTTGTCGTCCTGGTATGAGTATCCCCAGTAAATCTCGATGGTCAGATGGCTCTCGTTATCCGCAAAAGTCGCATGATGTTGTGTGCTCTCAATAGAAAGCCATGAAACATCAAGTTTGGCCTGAGGGAAAGTCTTCACCCCAGATCGCTTTTTGCCCGCTTGCTCGCCCTCTCCTCGCCACTCTCGTCCGGGCCGGGCGACCTCTCCTTAGCGTTCACCGCGCCATTGACCAATTCGCCGTCCACTTCCTCGATATCCCTCTTCTTCTTTCTCCCCCTCCCCCTCCCCTTCCCTTTCGACGTTCCCTCCTCGCCGACAACCTCTCCCAAATTCACCAGATCGTCCACCGCCAGCTTCTGCCCCTCCTTGCCCTCGGTCGTATCGAACAGCTTCTTCTTGTTGTCAATCTCCCTCTTCTTCTTGAACATCTCCTGCACCCTGCCCAGCTTGATGCTGTCTTTGCGGATGGCGAACTCAAAGTCCGAGACCTTCAGTTTGGCGCGCCCCGAGTAGACCGACACCCCGACGGCGTTGTGACACGTTTCGATGATGAAGTCTGTCAGGATCTCATCGAGGACGCGTAGCGTCTCGGGAAAGGGTTGTGTGAACGGCGTGGGTGCGTGGGTCGTGTTGGGCGTGTGGCTGGAGGACAGGTATTGTCGCGAGGATGCGCCGAGGGGTTTCGCAATGTCGGGGTGTGTAGGTGCGCCGTATGCGTACAGAAGTGCCGCGAGTTCGGGGCCGAAGTTGAGACTGGTCTTGTGCCGGCCGGCACGGGCGCGGGGTTCCATTGTTGCGAGAGGCAGTGAGATGAAGGAGGGATGGTTGACGAATGAGCAGGGACAGACAGATTGTGGTGGAGGACAAATGACAGACCGGGATGGAAAGTCCAATATTGATGGGATGGATCAGACCACGAGCATGGGCACAGACCAGCAGTGCCGAAACGGGGTTGATATGTAAGAGAAGGAATCTTGAGATAGTTGTATTTGTAACGTTGAAATGATCGCTGAGCGAAGAAGGCCGCCGGAGTCTGAGATGGAAGTCACTCCACAGGCGAGGCTGAAACTGTTCTGTCCAAGTACCGCGCAAGAGTGATCTGGACTTTCCACTGTCTACAGTACTATCACGTGATCTTCAAAGCGGCGCCTCAATGATTCCTCTTCCGGTTAGTCTTCCCACGCCTCCGTCTTGCGAAAACCACCTTTCAACATCTCGAGTACTTGGTACAGATAGATGGAATCACTCTCACCATTTCACGACGACACCCTTTTGACCGAGCCGATCCATAACATTGTGTTCTGCATTGACAAAAGTGTGGGGGTGCGGGTTGTGTCCATTTCCAGCCCGACTTAGCTGGTCGAATCTGGGTTTCCTTCCACGACCAAACAATGGTACGTCTCTCACCATGGCATTTTATCCCTCTGGATGGGAAACCTTCTTTACAGGACGGGTTTCCCCCTTTCCCCAGAGATTTATGGGAAAGACGAAAGGCAAAAAAAAAAGGCGGGGAAGGGGAAGAACACACGGGGAGAGACAGCGAGATCTTCCCAAAACTCATTCTAACACACACCACCTCCCGTGGCCACCCACACATATATAGACCGCCATATTCAATTTCCAGTCTCTCCTCCTCGTCATCCTCCTCATAATCTGCACCTCGACGTACGTGCACTCGATGGCTCCGGGCGTCATGGACAGGAACAAAGACGGGTAAGTCGAAGGGAAGGGAAAGGCACCTGTTTTTCCTTTTCCGACCACCCTTGCTAATTTGGCAAAACCCCCGGGGTGTCATGAGGTATTAGCGTCATGGGTATATTCTGGAAATGTGCGCGGGTAGGCGAACGGCTCAGTCCCTACGTCAGCATCTTTTGCGTTGTCATGGCTGTAAGTTGCTGCTTCTGTCTCTCTGAATCTTTGCAGTGCATCCATGACTTACCAATTGGCGACCAGTGCTCGATCATGATGGGTTACTAAAGTGGTGGACGAGTTCTCATTTTCTTGCGCGATCAAAGGGGTCTCTCGCACCGAGCCAAAGTCGAACCCCAGCTATGCATGCATGGGGTTAGGAGTCATGTTACCTGGCGTGTCACGAATGGCGATTCAAAGGCCAGGGATCCGGGTTTCAGGCGGCAGGACGGAAATTATATCACTTCGACATAGGACAGAGTTCCATTTATGTTGGCGGTCAGCCTGCTCTTTCAAGAGTTATATTAAGTCCTGCATGTGCCATGCTCGCTCACCCCCTGCGAAAGCCATGTCAACTTTGCAATAATCCTTGTCACAAACCATATAAACGACTCCATGTCAAATCCAGAAGAGTTACATGCACCATGGGTATCACAACGTAATTGGTTTCCGACCCATGCAACCAATAAGCACAACGCCATCTTAATCCTTTGGCGTCAATCACCAGATTCTTCACTAGACCAGAACTGCGGACTCGTGGTCAGTGCTGCTCTGTTTTTATGTTGTGTGGCTTTGTACCGCATTCTTCGTGGCCATATCGCAACATCTTGGATGTTCCCTGAACCAAGACCGAAATCTCGACAAGGATTGTTGTATTTCCTAGTATTGTATTACTAGCCCTGTTCGCTTAGTGCGCAAACCACTTGTCCCGTCGAAGGTCTCCTATGCAGGTGTTTGCAGGAGTCATCCTCCCTTTTTTGGCTTTCTAGCCGGTTTTAAGGAAGGTTCCACGTCAAATAGATCCCGAGAATCCAGGGCCTTGCTTGCACACGGCCGCTTAGCATTGCGAGGGGGAGGTCTTTTCGGAGTATCAGGGTCACTGGGTTCGTCACCCTCGGAATCCGGTTCGAATTGAACGCCTTTTGCTTGTAACTTCTGGATCGCCACGGCCTGGTCAAATTCCGTGGGTTTAGTCTGTGTGTTCTTGCCGGACACTGGACGAGTTGGCTTAGTATTGTTGGCAGGAGGAGTCACCAGGTTTGGCCCAGGAGCAGATTGATTCGATGGAAATGTGGCTGGATCCGTCACAGGTGAAAAGTTCTCTGTCGTGAGTCCATTTGTCAGCCGTGGATGTGAGGGTGAGGGTGAGGGTAAGCGTGGAGTGATTGAGATATGCTCATCTGGCTTGCTCGAAGGCCTTGAAAGGGCAGGACTAGAGCTCAATGGTTCATTTTGACTCTGTGCCAAAGGGCGACCTTGTGCTGACGCTGCTTCACGCTTATCACTTCCCTTCCCTTTATCTTTCCCGCTTGTAGGCCCTGGACGGGCAGAACCAGCACCCAGTGATTTTTTTCGACTCGGAGTCGAAGGCTGAGATTGTGCTGACGCTGCTTCACGCCTTTCATTTCCCTGCTCTTTATCTTTCCCGCTTGTAGGCCTTGGACGGGTAGAACCCGAGCCCAATGATTTATTTCGACTTGGAGTCGAGAGATGCGAAGGCGAGGGGTGAGACTGTGCTGGCGCCGCTTTGTACTTTTCACTTTTTCTCCCGTCATCTGTCCCGCTTATAGGCCTTGAACGTAGAGGACTAGGGGCCAGTGCTTTCTCCCCACCCCGACTCGAAGAATGCGACTGTGCTAATGCCACTTTGTACTTTTCATTTCCCCTTTCTTCGCCTGCCTTGTGACGCTTCACAATAATGACCCCCACGCTCTGAGTCGAGAGATTTGCGTCTAGAGCGAACTGAGATTGAGCGTCGGTCGAGCTCTCCAGCCGAACATCTGACCCATCTTCTGTTCTCTCAGGTACGATATTCGTCTGACCTCCGCTAATGACCTCTTCGAGCTCGGCTTGCCTCTCGTCACTGTCATCACGGCCAGCAGTCTGGACTTTCTGTCCTTTCTGTATGGCGATGGTCTGAGTAGTGTCTTGAGTCGAGTTCGTAACAGGCGCTTCGTCCTCAACGGCAGAGTTAAACGCGTTGTGCATGCTGCTGGAAATCTCCTCCATTGGGGCCGGTGCCTCGGCTCGAATTTCAACAGCTTCTGGGGTTTCTCTGTGATTAGCATTTTCTTTTGCAATACCATAAAGTTTGACACCTTCGGCAGGTGGTCGTCCTTCGAGAAGCCCAGTAGTCACTGCGGAAGCCTCGTGATCCTGGATGGACGCCGGGACGAACAGGGCATGCTCGTCCAAAGGGAAGTTATCGTCCGTCATCCAAGACGATACAACAAGTTCTGTGGGGATCGGGTTAGCGCTCTGGACAGTGAGGAACTCAATGCTCGTACGCGATATCATTAAGGGTAGTTTTGCTTCTTGCTCGGGATCTGGCAGATTGTCACTGGCCCTGGTATGTTGCATACCTTTTGCACGTATTCGAGTAGACGTCTCTCGGTGTGGGGATAAGATCTGGGAGCCCTGTGTAATAGCATTGGAATTTGTCGAAGATTTCGAAGTCTGATCGTCATCGCCCTGGCCTAGAGGGGACATTGTACGTCCATTTTCTGCTGGCTTCTGTATTGATGACGCCTGGTCAACTGTGTCCGGAACCTCTGCTCGATTACTGGAATCATCATGTGCCTCTTGAGTCTCGGCCTCAACGTTGTCCTGGAGCTCGTTGTTTCTAATCGGCTGGCGCAAAGCCTGCATAGCCGTATTCACCTTCTCCTGTTGGTAGTGGAATCGCTTTCTTGAAATGAACAATGAAGCTTCTGTGGTGGGACGCTTTAGAGGGTTAGGGGTCATCACACATGGTCGAGTGCGCGGAGCCGATGCGTGGGCCTTTGCACCAGGACGTTCTGTTCCAGTTTCCACTAAATCAGGGACGTCTTCGTCGTCGGAAATCGTCACCACTATCGGTGATGGTGGTGATGGAGGTGATGGAGGTGATGGTCTGTGGTCATCTGTATCTTCGTCGTCGGAAATCGTGATTGTTATTGGGTCCGGACGTGGCAAATCCTCGTGCCTGATGGAACACCGGGCGCAGCGTAGGACTGAACCTACAATAGATTTTCCGCACCCCTCACATTTTCTCAGCCCTGTAGCTTCGGTCGCCATTGTTGTACCATTTAGGGGGTTTGTGGAGTCGGTTGGAAGGTCCGGTGCCTGTCGTCGGCTATCTGGTCTTGGATGGTGCCAGTACGCCGATCCGCCACGTCGAGCTCGTCTCTTGACGACAGCTGGTGCAATTGTTGCAGGAGACGGTACCTCATGCTCTGTAACAGAAGACGGCACCTCATGCTCTGTAATAGAAGACGCCGATACTAAGCCGGTGTCGGGCCTTGACGGAGAGGCGAGCGCCGCTTCAGTCGGCCTTTGGCCTTTGGCACCATCAGCCCGGGGCAACTTATCAGTTATTGACAAGTCTCTTCGCCTTGAGCGCGGCTGAGTTGTCTTTCCGAAGCCACCACCACGAGATCTGCGAGTGCCATTTTTTGCCCTCTTCCGGGGATCTAGACACGATATGCCGGTCCATGAATGCGTATAGGGACATGAGTCCCCCCATTTACAAAAGCCCTCTTCCCATCCAGGGCAAATGAACTGCTTCAGGGACTGCTCTCCTGGTGGTCGTGGCGGCTGTTGTTTTGTTTCTGGCTCCCATTGAACCACGCCCGTGTCCTCATGGGCATAGAGACAATCTTCCGTCTTTGGACAACGGCCGGCAGTCTTCCAAAAGTAGCAGGTGATGTGTTTTAGCGATGCATTGCCATCAGATCCAACGTATAACCCGGTGTCAACGTGAGCGAAGTGACACTCGTGCTCCTGTCTCGTGCATGATTCCTTAGCCAACCATTCCGGACAAGTAAAGTCCTTGGCTGTTTCCCCATTATAGGGGGCATCGTGGCCAGTGTTTTTATGAGCAAATAGACAATGGTCTTCTATCACGCGGCACAAGGCTCTCTTCCACATAGGACAGGTAATCTGCTTGTACAACGCTCCGGTGGACGTGGAACCATTGGTTGTATGTTGTGGGGATAACCTTTGTTTACCACTATCGGAAACGAGGCCATGACCGGGCGCTGAGTTGGCCATGCTAATTATTGTAAGCGCGGCAGCAACATCATCTGCGCTTCGTTTGGATTGGGCAACTGCCTTCGAAGAGATTGCAGGTTCTTGCGAGGACATGTCAGAGGCGAACTCGGCAGACTGGCCAATGTGGCGGGCAATGGATTGACTAGAACTAGGAAGAATCTCGTCTCTGAGGGAAGGTCGATCTAAGCTGCCTCTGTCCGCAATGGAATTTGGCAAACACTCCTGGCAGGTGTAGTTATCGAGGCTCTTGCTATGTTTAGACCAGTCAGCGTCAAAAATGTGCGGAGCGACTACCTACTCCCTTACCTTTGACGGGTCGTTGCGCTTGCGCACAGACTATGATAGCCTGCAAGACATGCGTTGCACCGCACAAGAGGTGACAAGCTGTTCCCGGGCATGTGACAAGATCTGCATATGTTCTTCTTATCAGAGGCATAAGTTAAGGGGTTTGACAAGATTGCCTCGCTCGAAGGGTGCGGGTGTCGCTCGTTCATCATCTCTCGGCGAATCCCAGGAGAGCGAGACCCTGCCGATGGCCGACCTCGATCGGTGGGAAGCACCACCCCTTCATGCCCTCGCAGATCTTCCCGAGTGACAGAATGGATAAATGGCGTGGGCGTGTCCATAAAGGGTTGACGGGCAACGTCGTCTTCGTCCTGCAGAGCGCCATTGAGGGTGAGGGCGGCCGGAGAAGACTTCAAGCCTCGATGCACATTGTGGTCAGCCTGAGCATCAGCGTACATTCCCTGCTCTGGCTCTTTTGAGGGCTTATTTTTGCCACTATGCACTGCGCAAGTAACCTCTTCTCTGAGGTTCCCTTTTCGTATCACACCATGCTCGCCATCAGTTATGCGCGGGGCACCTTTGCGCACCTCTTCATTTTTCTGACCATCTGTTCCATCCAGCTTCGAAAATAGCGGTGCACGAAAATTTGAATGCTGACTCGGTCTTTGTCTCGCACCCGAACCTTCAATACGCCCGTATGTCTGTGGTTTGTCGACGAATTTTGCCCCAGATACACCCTCTAGGCCGGCTGAATGCTGAAGAAACGAAGATTGATAAGTCGAGCCAGAAAATTTGCTAGCTCCACCATGATCATCACCATAGTGAGGTCCCATGTAACGTTTCTGCTCTCTAAAGTACTCGAATAGTCGACAGTTATCGGCTATTTCGTTCGGTGGCGGGCTCCTATTGTGGTATACGGCACGGGGGTTTGTTGGTGATTGACTCTCCAGATCCATCCCTTCGAAACTCTCGTCGACAATCGAAATTGGCATCTGACGTGGCGTGCTGGCAGCAGAAGAGCCAGTCGAGTTCGTGTAAGTCTGCCGGCTGGACGAAGAATGCCGTGTGTGGTTGGGCAACCTGCCGACAGGGATGGAGGGTAGGACTTCGACCGCATTTCGACCGTCTGCAGCCATATCGGCATATGGCAATTCTCGTTTGAGGGTATCTCATTTCAGAGCCTTGCTTCGAGCGCCACGGCCGAAGAACAACCTGGGTGGAGGATCACATTAGCAAATATAAAATATTGAACTCTGAACGACAGCGCAGCAACTGTGGGGTTTCCATATCAGGTCTTTTCAGTTATTCGGGTCTTCACTTTGTGTCGCCAGGGTTGCTGCCAGGGCCTCAGGGGCTCTCAGAGCAGCTTTCACACAGGTGATTTAACAGCACAGAGATGACGGACCGCCTGCACTCCCAGCAACCCCTGCCAACATCTCACATATTTGGCGATTGGTTGGGACCATAATGTACGCTGCTGCCATTGGCTCAAACATCCACAAGGTCTTCAGAAAACGAGCCCCATGTTTGTAGCGCCATACTGTTGTGGTTGTTCTACCCAAAGTCTCCAACAAAGCAGTTCCAAGTGTTGGGAATGCATCGTTCTTGCGTGACTTTGTGCTGCCAAGCCTGTGGGAGTAGGCAGGAATGCGGATGTGCATCAAGTCTTGATTCCCCGGCCGAGTGGCCCTGGTGTAGGTGCACAAAGGAACCAGGTCTCCCGACGAGCTACCACCAACGATTTTTGTCTCTCAATCTGACCTTTTACCATTGACTCATCATTGTGTTGGGAATCGCAAAAGCTTCGAACGCTCATCAAAACACTGGGGACGGTGCTTACCAATACTGTTGAAGCACGGATCCCACGAACAGGGGAGACCGTGCAGCCGCAGGCTTCAAACCCATTATTCGTCGGATGAACCCATATCACACACGGAGGACAATTCTCAAAACGGCTGGGCCTATGTGACCAAATCACGCAGAGAAAAAAAGGGCGTACTCCGTCGTTGAGGAAAGATTACCGCTCGGACGACACGATCCGCGCGACAAAGACGCTTGAAGAGTGGAGATAGGCAAGAGGCTAAAAATTAGAGGCTCGTTATGGTCGCGATCGAGTACCGTTTGATAACGTTGGTGCTGTAGAGACTAGACAGGGCAACACAGTGCTCCCTATCGTTCACAGAGAGAAGACGACGTAGGAAATATTCCGATGGACAACACAATGTTCATTACGTGTAAAAAGATAATTAATAGGGCTTGGGCTGGAGGTGAAGCTTGAGGAAAGAATAGAGAAGAGACAGAGTGAGAATGTGGACGATGATTGGTTGGAGTCTAGGGGCTGGTCTTGGAAAGTCTTGGCAAATTCTAGGCGTGGAATTTGCTTGGGCCCATTTTTATACCTGGACAGCCTTGTCCAGGGCTTACGAGGGAGGGGAGGCTCCAGAGGGACTCGTACTCGGTACAACTGGGCTTCAGCCACAAAGCACAGGTGGTGCTTGAGAAGATATTATTGTTACATGTTGCCGCCGTCGAGTGTAGACTCTCCAATAGCGTCCCTGAATCCATAGCCCTTAAAAATCCCGTCTCCCTCAACAACTCGCTCGGTGCCCAAGATTGTTCGATGAGTGTCGAGAGCTTCCCCTTCTGCGGCTTGGGAAGTGGGATCAACATCTTCTTGCCACTTGAGAGCCATGTCGAGCCCATCAGGAATTCGTCTTTCGTCCAAGACATATCTGACCAGCTTGGCAAGCTGACTCTCATCGTACTTCCCTAGGAGAAATGCATAACCCTCCTCGGTCGGCCGGACGTCACGAGCCAGCATCATCCGCCAAATTTTCTCTGCAGCCTCCTCTTCACCGTGTTGCAAGAAGCCGCATAGGACTTCGCTCCACGTTCGCTCGCTTGGTGCACACAAATTGCGTTCTATCATGGCTTCCACCACGTCCACCGCTTTTCTCAGGAAGAATCGGCTGCGGGCATAGAAGTGGATGAATCCATTGTACATGATATCATGTTTCGCGCACTCGAGAATACTCGGGTCCCGCTGTTTGATCATGTGGATGATCCAATACCATAATGCTGAGACAAGTCGCTCGTCTCGTTGGCAGAGAACGTAGGCCCAGATGGTAAATCCGAGGACCACAGGCGGAGGTTCATCGAGCTTCTTGGGGGCAGACTCGTCGACTGGGAGAGGGTTCACAATACCAAGCTTGACAAGTGGTGTCCGGTCGTAGGCTCTGTCGTAGATCGCGAGTAGATGTGATACCGATATCCCTGCGGGTAATTTGCGGTCGATTGTGCAAACAACCCTCACGATATGCATCATGTAGGTTACCAAGTATGGGTACTTGTAAAGATCTTCGCGTTGGTGGATGGCAGACATAATTTCATCCAGCTTTTCCCGGTTCTGCCGCTCAAAACTATCTTTGAGCAAGAAAAGGTGGCTTCGTTCGTCAACGTGGATATGCTTTGCTTCCATAAATCGGAAGACTTCCCAAGCAACGTCGGGCACGTTCAAGGAAATTGCTCGCTCAATAATGAGGTTATGCGCCTTCGCATCCATTGGCATACCAAGTTCGATCAACTTCGGAAGAGCCTTGAAATTACCCACAGTATTCGATTCTTCGATGGTGTCGATCGTTATAAGCTTGGCACAGCGGTCGAGAATCCGCACCTTGTGCTCTTCCCTCTGATCTGGAGGGATGCATGAGAGGAGTTCTATGGCTCGATCAGCGTCACCAAGCTTCGTAAAATGATCCACCATCACTAAGATCAGTCGTGGTGGCACGGGGGAGTAATTCTGGAAGAGGGTGTCTATGATGGTTTCAGATTGCTCGGCGTCGTTGTTCCGTAAGAGGAGAACGAGATAGTGGAACGGCATTGTCACCCTAGGCCAGGTCCAGATACGGGAGACGAGAGCTATTTGCTCTGCAAACAATTCTTGAAGATGATGGTCGGAATCGATCTCCCCACGATAGACCATGTCCAAGTAGCAAAGACAATCGCATCGAGTTCTCCAGTCGCGAGGAACCACCGGGAGGATGGACAGCATGAGGAGTGTTCTCCGAGCACCGTCAGCCAGGCATCCGAGCAGAATGTGCGCTAGCTGGCGGCTCCTGCTGCGAGGGGGGGTCTTGAGCCAGGCTTCACGAAGCTCCTCCAAACTGCGATTGCCCACAAAAGCTTTCGCGACTTGTTTATGCACATCCAACTCTTGACGCACCTTCGCGTAATCGCCATCTTGTGGGAAAACCAACTTCTTGTACGGCTTATCCCACAGCCTACTGAATCGGTCGTCTCCAGGCAGGTTCTGTCGACCTTCCTGACATTCAAGGTTGTCACGAGCCTGCACGCTTAGTGACTTGACAGTGTCGTGCTCGGGGAGTCCAGATTCGAGGCCCTCGGACTCTAACGCGATAGATCTCGAGGCTGCTGGATAGGACCATGTTGTGCCTAGCCCATCAGCTGTATGCATAGGAGTTGGCGTACGACCAAGAAGTTTGCGAGAAACTGGATGGTTCGACACAAGAGACGGAGCCTTCGCGATGCCGTAGATTCGATTCGAAAGTGATTGAACATCTTGGAGTCTCGCCGAGTCTTGACTATGTTGGCCACCTTTGCGTGGTCGAGGACAGACAGACTGTACTCTAGACTCCGCAGGCGGAAGAGTTACCTTGCTTGAAGAGGGAATGGATTCTGTCGGATCTTGATGTGGTTCCGCTGGATCGCCTAATTTTCCTATGTTTTCGATGGACAAAGAGGGCGACCCATCCGGTGCCTCAACAGACACCTTAGCGAGGACGGAGGTTTGGTGGAGCGAAGCCCATCTCGTAAGGCCATGGTTGACGAAGTCGAGAGAATGCGGTTTCAATCGGGTTGCACCCCGGCTGAAGGTTGCTGGATTATTGTTCAAGCATCCTCGTAGAGTGGTGGTAGACTTATGGAACATTCAGTTTTCCGGTCATCTGGCTCGATCTCCCACGAACAGCTGAATTAGGACTGAATGGGAGGGTAATGGACGTTACAGGACTTATGGGACGACAATTGTCAATGCGGACTTTGACAAAAGATATGTAAAACTGAGCGGCTGAACTCCTTTGCGGGCGCAGCCTGAAAGGGAAATTTTCCCGAGTGAAATGCGCTGGGACTTCTTTGATGTCGCTACCTTTGCTCTTCGCAGCAACCCACAATGGCCTACCTCAGACACGGGATGTCCTTTTCATGAAAGGACTGACAGAATAGACGGGCCCATCTCCGTCATGTCTACCACACATAGCAGCCTAGATGCTGCTGCCATCGACAGAAAAGCTCGCTTGGCGAAACTCGCATCTCTGAAGCGCAAGCAACCTGGCTCTCACTCTACCGTTTCAAGCCTACAAGAGGACAGCGATGAAAGGCACGAGGAGAAAGCGTCTGAATCTACAACTGATCAGTATCTGTCGGGCCGAAATTACGATCTAACCACGAAAAACGCCAAACTCGGATTCGAAAATGTCCCAATTGGTGGCGACGTCGAGACCGTCGAAGAGCAGGCCGATCGCATCCTCGCATCCACTGCAGAGCAAGCTGCCAAAGATGAGCTGGAAGCAGAGAAGGGCATCGACCTGTTCAAGCTGCAGCCGAAGAAGCCAAATTGGGACTTGAAAAGAGACTTGGCGGAGAAGATGAAGATTCTGGACGTGCGCACACAAAACGCTATTGCGCGTCTGGTGAGAGAACGCATCGAGAATGCAAAGAAACAGGCTCTGGAGAAGAAAGCCGTTCAAAGGCAGCCCACAGCAGAGAAAGGAGACGAAGGAGAGGAGGTTGGAATCGAAGGAAATACTCTTGTTGAGAGCATACATCTACGAGAGCAGGAAGAGGAGCGAGATGCTGCCCTGGAGGACGAAGAAGAAGATGGTATTTCATGATCGACGGCACGAGCGCCCCGACGGCGTTCGGCCCAAGCGGTGACCGAAAGCCATCCAACATCATTCAGTCCATGTTGCCGATCGTTTATACGGTCGAATACAGCCGATGCCATGCATCTCGCAAGAGGTGAATCACATTTATCGCGGCATTCTCCAGCGTCCGAGGCTCGAGAGTTGAGCGACGCTCCGCACGTCATAACGACCGCTGCATCAGACCGAAGCGTTAAAGGCGTCTTAACACAACCAGTCGCAAAACTTGATTTGTGTCTTGCAGCAAGCAGCACCATTGGCTAGACTGTGCTGCTCTATGGAAATGGAAACACGTGGAGATGGAAGAGACGGCGGAAAGCCACATGAAACAGAAGGACCTGTGACAAGTTGCATCAGAAGCCATTGGTGAGAACGACTGGCGACCGAGCAGCATAAGCGAATGCGTAATAATGAGCAATGGAATTCTAGTATCTGATCAAACAGTCATACCACGACAGGACCAATCGCACCGTGACGATAAACGTGCATTGCTCGTAGGGGTATGACAAGGGAGATCAGCCAGTTCATGCATCAATGTAGCCGCCAACGCCTTGCAAACCGGAATTGACAATACTTCACCACCAAATCCAAGTCCCTCCTTTCCGAAAGTAGAGCATCCAACCAATTTCCAGAAGTCGAATCTCGTCGCTGACCTGTCACATATTCATCGCCTGCGTCAGAGCTAACCTCCTGCTGTACGGACTCAGGCTCCGCTCTCTTATATGGCTTCGCTCCTCTCGGCCACGCCTGACGTCTCGCTGAGGCAATCTCGGATCATAAGTGTCATCGCGGTCACACGCATTACCCCGGAATGTTGGAGCATCATAGTCTTCATGCTCGAGAGACCGTCTCTGCTTGGTGATCTGGCTCTTGTCCATGCTTGGACTGCTAGTCCGGCTGCGATGGCTACCTCGACGCATAGAACTAGGTCGACCTCGATCAATGGGACTGACGGTGCGATGGCGTCGGCTTTTGCGATGTGAGCCAGGCTCTCGCCTCGGAGACCGAGGCGATCTAGAGAAGGAGCTGGAAATAGAGCGGTGTTTCCTTTTCTGGGGCACTTCATTTGTTGGTGCCCTCGAGTCGTTTCGACGTGCACGACTAGCGGCGAAGTAGTCGTCACCGCGTTCCCGTGATTGAGACCGTGAACGAGAATGCGACTTGTTTGTCGATATTGTCGAAACAGAATCTGAGGAGTCTGGGGTTGGTGATCGACCCCGATCTTCTGGCTCCTGGACTAGTTTTGCTCGGCTGGCCTGGGCTTCGGCCAGTTGTTGGTCGGCCACTCCCTTGCTAGATGAATGTTAGAAAGACAACGTTTCCGACAGTCGGAGAAAGCGTTTTCACCTATTCAATAGATTGTTCGGAGTGTCGCTCGCTAACTTTGGCGCAAGTTTGGGATTGAGTAGTTGCTGCGTCCTTGATGGCCTGGAGGCATATGGCCGCTCCTGTACACTTGATTTGCATTCATAACTGTAGTGACGTGAACAATTGGTCAGTTCAAATGATGATCAGACGGCAGAGGAGCGGCAAACATATCTTTCTTCAAGCATTTCTGGCATACAGTACTGGCTGTAGCCTTTTGTGGCCCGAGGCCGGGAAGTGTACGATAGCGATTCATTGAAGAAAAAGGCTTCCCTAGGGACGTCCAAGGGAAGAAATTGACGCCAACAGTCTCACGGGTTGTAGTGAAGGCGCAGGCTTAGCGGCGGGGAGAGTGAGATGCCTGCTTTGTCAGAGGTTATATAAAGGTGGCGACGGGGAAGGCAGAGGACTCCAATGTATATCGAATGTAAAGAGAGATTGGAAATGCTGATGCCTTGTGCCGATGTCGAATCTGCAACATATAAGCCTGAACAGAAGGGCCAGTCGCCAAACCGGAGCGCATGCGAAATGCGAAACGTAGCGTTCCAACAATCTGAATCAAGCAGGTGCCGCCTTTTCAAGCCAACTGGGGAACAGGCAGGCAGATTGACAAGGACGCTGGGAGGAAAGAAGGTGGGCGAAGCCTGATTTGGTGGTTTAGTATTCGGCGATGATGCTGGTTGGCTTATTGTCGATGTGGTCTACCTCTTTTTTCCCCCATGCTTCACCCAAGGATTGCCGTGGCCCCGTGGTTCTGTGTTGGCGAGAGATGTGCCAGTCTCCCGTGTGTCGGTAGTGTAGTGGCTTAGTGGCTGAGTGGCGCTGTGGACTGTGGCACCCCCTGGTACCGCAATAACTTTTGTCCGCCCACAAGTGACAAAGTGACATGGGGAATCCTTGGCATTCTCCCTCATGGCCTGCCAGCCCTGCTTGCGCTTTTCGATGCCTCAAGACTGCCACAAGTCACGCTTTTTACAGCCTTGACTTCAGTCGTCGCTGTCCACATTTTCAAAGCTTGTGGATCTCCATTGTTCATAGACACAATGGATTGATCCAACTCCCCTACACGACGCTTTTATTTTCCTATCAAGGATCTGATATTGCTTCACTTGGTGAGCGCGCGACAACGACAACCCAAAAAAACTCCGTAAACCCTTCAAGGTGGGCGAGAGCCTTCACCAGAATTGCATTTCGTCCCTTTATATCTTGGCGGCCTTTTCACACCTCACGGACCCTGCCTCCTTCGATCTCAGGCTTCAATCGCAGAGATCCCCACCAGACCATCCCACCGAATCCTACCACATCCGTCCTGCCTCCGCCTCAATACGCTCAAAGGCATTCATCATATTGCTACGCACGTTGACAACTCAAAAGACCACCTTGTCGAATCCATGGAGCCTTTTAGGTCGTGCTGTGTTGGCTCGTTCGATGAGCAAGACGTTGTGTGAGACAGCGGAAGGAAGAATTGAAGCGTCGACTCTGGCTCGTACAATTCACATTCATTTTCAATACCAATCCTCAGCTTGATAGCCTGACTTGACGCTGTTGGATACGACGTGACGAATCTCTTTGGGCATCATGGCGTCTTCTCAGGTCGGGCCGCCTCCGGGAAAGCTATCATTTGCGAAGGTATGTTTGATTTGATCTGCACAAGTCACTTTGTTTGGGCCTTGCTGATGTTTCCCAGGTCGCTGCAATGCGTGCCCCCGCCCTTCCTGCGCCAAACCCTAATGCTTCTGACGAGAAGAAGGGTCGTCCTGTCGAGAATATTAATACAAAAGCTGTGCATACCAGCCTTCTCAAATCCTCAACTTCGCCGAGAACGCCCAGTGATTCACAGCCGAAGATCCTAGAAGAGCTCAGTCAGCTGGACTATCCAGCAGCTGCAATTGAAGGGCTTTCTCTAGTTGAAGATGCCACCCTCGTATCAGGCGGCCCTCAGAGTGCGGAAAGCGGAGAATCTCTTGAAGATGATCAATCTCATCTCTCTAATTCTTCCACCAAACATCAGAGTTTTGATACCAAAAGCATGGCTTCCGTTACAACCTTTGCAATGGACGAGAAGGAGAGCATTCGTCCGGATGACAGTGCTAGTGTAAGAGCCGCAGAGGACGAAGAGACCTCAAGTGCACCAACCCGAGAAGACTTGTCAGCATCAAATACACGTGGAACATCGCGGCCGAACATTTCTGGAGTCACCATCGCGGCTCGCCGATACCACACGTTAACTTTAACCAATCCTCCGCGATTTGGAGATCTCCCCCTTCCAATCATTCAGGCAGAGACTGCCGACCGACAGCCTCGCTCAGAAGGATCGTTGGAGCAGCCTCGCGAGATACATGAACGCGCTTCATCACTCCCACTTGCGCCTGATGAGAAGCTACTGGATGCATTAGCTACCCCAAAAGATCGCCTGCCTCTGCTCCAGCTGGAAGAGAAATTCCTAGCCTTTATTACAATGCCCGGGTATGTCTGCATGGTATCATTATCAAGGTGATTGACTAACAATGGCACAGAAATGATTTTCTCGACCTACCACCACAGAATTCCTTTGCCAGGCTTCTCGCACATAAACTTGCAGACTATTACTCGCTTGCCCATCACATCAATGAGGATGGCACATCTATCCGTATCTTTCGGACGCCTGACGTATCGATGTGAGTGCTCCACGTTTTTCCATTCACAAGGCCTCTTACTGATTTCTTTTGCAGGCCTACACCGCTACATGTGTTGGCCCAGTCCATCCCTGCAGGGCCTTCTCAACCTCCTTCCGCTGCGGGTTTTAAGATCATGCGCAGGGTCGGGTTGGGGCCACGGCAGGGCTCAGCTGGTGCCAGTACACCTGCGAGTTCGTCGGCTCCATCCAAAGCCACCTCGGAAGCAGGTCTCGAAACGAATAGCGAGGAGGGTATCTTGTCCCCGGTAGAAGGAACGCCGAACAAAGACAAGTCAAAGCTCACAAGGGAGGAGCGAGAGGCCCAATACAAAGCTGCGCGAGATCGGATATTTGGCGATTTCCAGGAGTCGGTGACCAGTGAGAGTGCTTCGACCGGGGAGAATTCGGCGAGCATGTCGCGGTCGAGCTCATCTAGTGGCAAGAGAAAGGCACGCAAACACAAAACCCCAAAAGACGACAGTTTTGAAGCACGATCGGCATTCATTCCCAGCTACACCCCAATGCATATGTCACATATGCAACCGCAATATCAGCCGCATTACCCGGAACAGGCTTATAATGGACCATACCCAGCACCCAATGGCGCCTTTGGTGGAAACATGAATTACAGCTCTACACCCACCCAAGCATATCCTAATTTCGAGTCTTCCATGTCCTACAACGGCGCTCCAATGGGCTACGGAAACAATAGCAGCCAGTCTTTCAGTTCCACGGAATCATGGTCGTCGACGATGCAGACTCCTGCCTCGAACGGATACTTCAATTACTCTGCCTCTCCCACCACCTATCAGCAGGGTATTTCTCCCATGATGGCTCAAATGAACCACCAATTCATGACAACATCACATACGGGTATGCAACAGCCACAGAACTGGATGAACAATCAATTCCCGACTGCCTATCCTCAACCCCAAGGTCCGCCCACCTCTGACCTGAACGGTTGGTCTTCTTATCAGACTAATGCAGCTATGAGCAACGCAGCCAACTACGGCTATGGACAGCTCCCTGCGCAAAACTTCAGTGGTAATGCCAATCAGGCATACAATGGCCAATATTCCAATTCAAGCACCTACGCCCGATCACTTTTCAACCCGCAGACTCGCTCCTTCGTTCCCAGCAATTCCTCGAGTCGCAATGGCGGACGCAGTGGACACATTAACAATAATGGCGCACGGAAGAAAAATTCGTCAGCCTCGTCAAGCCAGAGCCGGGCAAATAGCATTCCTGCCTCCAAAGCATTCGCTCCAGATGCTTCCGGAACGCCACCACCGGCTCGCGCATTCGACAAGGGACTCTCCAGTAATGTAGCGTCTCCCAAACCACCTCCAGTTAAAGAGGATTCCCTCCAACAGAAATACGGGGCACCTGCGCATCTGCCTAAGAAGCCTCCACCATCGCAGGTCCCCTCGCCCTATGACGTTGACAGTATTACCAATCCAAGCACTGGTGTAGCAGGTACGGGAGCGACAGCATAGGAGCAATAGTTTGTCGGGCACGGGAAAGAACATGGGATCATCGGCATGAGATATGGGAATGGGCAAGGAATTGGACATGTGCTCAAGTTGGGGTGGGCGCAAAAGCGCATGGTGTTCAACTCTCGACATTTAGTCTCCTTGCCCTGGCTATCGGGGGGAGATGCAGGTATGCAGGTATGCGGGTATGCAAAGACGGGGGGGATGTTTATGTGATGGACCGGACTCGCTTGGGTGAGGCACGGCTCAATCATGCATGTATCAGGTTTCTCTTTGAGACGCACAAGGGGAACAAACTTGGGAGACAAGGCCAGGACCAAGAGAACCAAAATCAAGGAGTCGAAAAAGGTCTAGGTTTGCAACATCACTCCAAATAAGTGTTTAAGGATAGGGCCAAATGGCTCTGGTTTGCATCGTCTTTCTTTCACCTTTGTTTTTTCTTTATGTTCATGTGGATATGAGTAGAGTCTAAGCAGTATTGCAAGCCCGAGTTCAGGCTGATGAGAACGAGGATAAGACAAGACTGCAGTCGAACAACAGGGAACCTGGTTCGTGTTGTCCTGTCTTGTCTTGTGCTGTCTAGTTATTCGTCAGTTGGCCCTTGTCGGACGGAGACCCAGAATTCTGACGACGTCTGGCAAGTGAAGTGGATGGATAGATAGATAGATAGATAGTACCTGACGATCGCGAGGCCGTATGCCCATGTCACGCGAGCGACTCTTGCATAACGGTGTGTATATCTATCTCTCTATATCCTCAGTATAGATGGAAGGTAGATAGGAGGTCGATAGGTACAAGCATGTGGGTACCTATATATATGTGTGTGCCTCGTAGATATATACCTCGCAAATACCATGCGTCCCACGTCCTGGTATCATTACTCCAGCCGACATGAGTCCAGAAACGCCCTGTCCCTCTGATATTTCCCCTAATGTCCCCCCCTCCCTTCTACTGTGATATCCTGTCCCCTGGTTCTCGGTCTTTTTTTCCCTGTCCTCCTTCGGTCGAATTTCCCCCTTGGAACAAAATCCATGTCCTTGTGTGTCTCCCCAACCCTGAGCCCCTTTTTGTTCTGGAACAAATGCCTTTATAAGTCGCGCAAGGTGGGGGACTGTGGTCCCCTTCAGCTCGTAGCCGTGTCCCGGCGTATCTCATGCATTTCCAGGCTCTCAAGAGCCTTGCCGTGTTCATGCTGTCGTTCAGCGTCAATGGTGTCGTTATCGTCGTCATCATCATAAGAATCGTCATCTCTCACATCCCCGTCCTGGTGCCCACTCATTAACCCAATGGCTTCTTCATGAGTAGCCCCCACTTTAGCCCGTGCGTGTTCTCGCAGCACTTCCAATCCAGATGATGTGCTCGTAGCCCCGGCACGAGTGTCATTCGACTTCACCTTAGAAGCCGAGTCCCTGGCGGCAGCTACCCACACTGCTCCCGCCAGAATCAACACGCTACCAATCCAGCTCATTGTATCCGGCGTGATGCCAAAGACCAATTTATCGCCTGCCAGCGCAAAGAGCATCTGCGTGTAGCACATGGCTGTTGCACGAGTCCCTGATGGTTTCGGCCTTGGCTTGGACGAATAGTTTTTACCGTTCCCGCTACCGCTGGGATTTTCCAGATGGATCCCGGCGCTCTCGACATCCCTAATCTTCTGTGTAGGTTGAGTTTTGTTCCCACCCTGGCTGGACGGTTCACACGGCCCACCATATGCTAGGCCGGCGGTCAGAAGAAACTGCATGACAAACCCGCACAGACCCAGGCTGGCGAGCAGACTCCACTCGGTGAGGTTGCCCGGTAGCCGGAACTTGACGTCAGGGAAGATGACGAGGCATGTCAGCGAGACAATACTACACCACACGCTGAAGTAATTGATACTGATGAAGGCGTGAGCCCTGGTACCAATTACACGTATCGCGGTGAGTGCACCGGTGCCACCAACCACGCCGATCATTGCAATGCCCACTGCTGCGAGATGTTGTTCGGCAGTGATGTGTTGAGCAGTCTCAGCAGTCACAGTAGAGTTGGCTGGAGGACTTACCATGGCGTCGGACGGTTGGGCCGAGGTCGAGGTCAAAGAGAGGAGAGAGGCTGGTCGGGCAATGAACAAGACACCAATAAGGCTGACGAAGCCGGCAATCTGCTGCTGCGCGCTGAAGACTTCCCCAGGCATGATGAAACTGCAGAGGTAGCAGGTAAGGATCGGCGATAAAAAGCCCAGCACCGTTGCCTCGCTCAGCGGCAAGTATAACAGGCTAAAGTATAATCCAAATACTCCGAAGAACCCAGCAATGCCCCGTAAGACAAGTAGCCAGCGAACACCACGCGGCCCAAAGGGAAAATATGGAGTTGTCTTGAAGTAGATACCGTACGTGGTGCAGATGAGGGCGGTGATGGACTGTCGAGCGAAAAGGATCTGGAACGGATGCATTGGTTCGCCATGTGAGCCTGGCGTCTCCAGGAGTCGAGTGCTGATGTTCATGCCGACACCGAATGCTTGGGATGCAAGGACCAACATGGCACCATAGTTGGTAATGTAGAAGGACTCCCAGGCTGCTCTGAACCGGGACTGTGGAGGAGGAGGTTCGGCCGACGTGGAGAGGGCCCCATCTTGAGATATACTGCGGACGAGAGGGTGGACGGCCTGCAGTTCATTGGAGTGGAATGAGAGCTCCGAGAGCTCTGAATATATGCTGTCAAGCGAAGGCCGAAAGGATGGGATGTCAAGGTAAGAGGATCTAGAGCCCGTCACAGGGGCTTGTAGAGGAGGAATCGACTTGGACGACGAAGGAGAGGCTACGACAGTGGTGTCGCTGGAAGAAGGTGACGCTGGATTGTATCCATCGTGGATAGACGGACTGTTCAAGGACATGGTCGAATATACGCCATCCCAATGACTCCAGGGTACAGGTGCAGTCTCGCAAAAGAAATGGGAAACAGTTTTGACTCAAAAGGGGAGACAAGAGCAGGCTGCGGCGCTGGCGGAAGAAGTATATTGCTGACTGAGATTCAATGTTTTAATGACAGATGGCAATAACAAGCTGCTTATGACAAGGGAATGGATGTACTCTGGTCTTCAGAGATGTCCAGAGAAAATTATAACAGATAGAAAAGCACACATAGTGAAGATGTGATCGCGGGAGGTGGGTAGCCACAAGAAATAGGCCAAAACTAGGGCGGGATGATGAGGAATAAGGAAGAATGTCGAGTGACTTGGCGGGGACGAGCATCACTACTGCATCCATCTCTTTCTCAGTCAACAATTCCACAGATTCTCACTCCAATCATGCGTAGCTTGCAGCCCGTTCCCCTCCAGACGCCCTGCAACACCACAGATCCGTGTCATACAACAGGTACCAACCCACCCGTGATTGGATGACATATTACACCGCAGGATAAGGGTCAGCGGGTCGACGGGCGGATACCCGGTATTCTTGTACCGAGCACCATTTCTCCATACCTAGTAACGACTAACAATACGCCCCACGGAAGATTCGGAAATCACGAGCATCGAGGCAGTCATGCCATAGACATTGGGAATGGTGAAATAGAGACAAGAGACGCAGAGGGACATACATCAAAAGAGGAGAACCTGGACAACTACGGACAAGAGGTCAGGGCACAGCACAGCACAGCTTAGGCTTTCATTTGCATTTTTTCATTCCGTATCGTGTATGCGAAGGACCTCTGCTTGTCCAGCATCTATGAGGCCGATGCGCTGGCCTCTGCCTCTCCCCTCCTTAGCGCCAACAGCGCCCGCACATCCGTCACATACTGCAGTGCCTCTAACATGGGTATCAAATGAAGCAAATCGTTGTCGGTCGGGTCATTGATCCATCCTTCGATCGGGATCGCGTTGTCTGTCACGAACATCGTCTTAGTATCCGGCTCAACCATTATATGCTTCCTCTCAGAGGGGCTTACCTTCGTGGAAAATGTAACTGACGGGACTGTTGTCCAGAATAATAACCTTGCTCAGATCGGGTTCAATGCTGCTGAGGTCTTTGATGTACGCCCCATTGCGAAATGTACAATGTTGCCGGTAGTATCTGCCCACAAAGTACTTTCGCTCCTGTTCCAACCAGTCAATGACGGGATCAGCGTACTCTTGCACTGACGCCGTAAACACCACAAGTTTATACCACTTGGCGACCTTACGCAGGAACTCGTCACAGTGGGGTCGCTTGTGAACATAATAGAGGATAGGATGTTGCGGTCCTATCACAGGGGTTGCTTGACCAGGTTGAGGAGGTGCCAGGGCCACAGGGGCGTTCAACTTGACCTCTACCATATGCCCCGACGACATCCGGCCTCCTTTCGCCAGAGAATGAATCAGGGTCTCGTCAAGATCCAGGATCAGGGTTTTCTGTTGTAGCGGTGGACCATGCCGGGTTGGAGATCTGGGGATGAGGTTGGCATAGGAAGGTTGCCTCCGGGGGACCAGGGGTCGAGGTGGTTGCGGCGCATGGGGATATCTGGTCATCCTAAGGGACGGGGAAGGCGATCGCGGGGACTTGATATTGTCGACCGTCAATGGAGTGGAATCGGCCAGGGGGCTGGCAGATTTCTTTTGCTTTCTCCTTTTGAGAGCAAGATCATTTTGCTCTTTGATCCTGATGGAGGACCGTCGGGTTTCCGAGTCCTCCCGCACTGCCTTTTCGCGCTTCGGCTTGGAGCGTAGCTGAGCACGCTCCGCCTTGCGATGTTCCGCATCCGAATCCGAGGTTGTGGTATCTAACGAGTCGCTTGAATAGGAGTGGCGCAGCTTCGTCTCTTGGAGCGCGCGATGAGATGGTTTCTCGTTGGGCCAACTGCCGTCCTGGGCAGGATTAGAGAACCCCATCGCACGAGCAGTGCTGGCATTGAGGGCTCTCTCCCTTCGCGGCCATCCTGGAACAAGGCCGAACCTCCCGTCCTGGTCTCTAAAGCACTGCGCAAGGTACACCACTGGGGCGCCAATTGCAGCCAGAATGGTGGTTATCGCGTCTGTGAGCTGCTTGACCAGCAGGCGCCAACCTTCCGGAGTCGAGGCTTCATCTTCCTTCTCATCCGCGTGCAGTAAAGGCTGCTTCTCCTCCTCCGATTTTATGGCTGGCTCGTCGTTCTCGGCAGTTGCTTCACCAGGGAGCTTGTCTGGGAAACCCGTGTCTGGCTCATTCTTCAACTCGGCTGTAAGCTCTCCGCTATATGATCTTCCTCTAAACTCCTCAACACTGAACTCCTTCTTGAAAAGTTCCCCACCTTGAGACCGGGACCGAGGGCGAGAGGATGATTGAGACTGTCCGATCACTCGGGAGGAGATGAGGTTGAGCGAGTTCATCTCCCAGCAGAGACGTAGGCGCGGACACTTTGTAGCGGTCGACGAATCGACTTCCGGGAAGCAGTGTCCTCTTCTGTGGCTATCGTGATCGCATGACGATCCTATGCGATAGTACGGGAGTATGCGAGCAGCGGGATAGAAATCGGGGAGACTTGGTGGATCGTGTGAGGTGGACACGATATGCTCATATAGTCCAGCTCAATGTAGTGGAGGGAGTTCCTTTCACTTTGCCCAAGACGTTTGCAGAGACAAAGAAGATGATAGAGACAATGTCATCAAGCTTAAGACAAGAGAACCTCCTATTGACGAAGGGGTGGTGGCTGGCGCAGCTGATCCGATCAAGAAGCCAGTCACGAAACAAGTCGGGTGGGAGAGGGAAGTGGGAGTTCGGGAGTGGGAGCGACATGGAGCGGAAGACACACGCGGGCCATTTCCCTTGCAACGTCTCCAAATCGTGGCATGCGATGCGAGTCATTCCTCACCACCACCAAAAAAATTGGTCCGGTCCAACGCACAACACATATATCGGGAGAATTACGAGGGCAGATTTCTACAAGATACTCATTGCACTGCCCTTCTTCTACTTGAAGTCCAGAACCAGGTGTCGCTCTCGCTGGCAACTCTACAACCTTGGGCGGCACATACCCCAAGCACCACTTGAAGGACGAACACACTTCACGGCAGTTCAGCATCCACACCTCACGGCTTTCTATTCTGGTTAGGGAGTCTGCAACATGGCGCCCGCCACAGCGTCTCTGACGCCCGGGTTTGCCAGTTTTCAAAAGGTCTTGTCCACGGAGCCGCTCGACACTTCGACAACATATTTGGCCTCGTGAGTTCTGCCCGAGTTACTTCCAGCATGGGCTGCGTTAATGTGTGTAAAGATTGCTTAAACGACGACAAATAAGAGGCTCCAAACGTTGCGCTGTGGTCACAACACTTCTGTTACTCCGCACCGTTGAGGTGACCAAACAAGCCGATTCAGTCAAGTTGATCCAAAGAGTCACAGAGGTGGGCAAAAAGCTCATCGAAGCTGCTCCCCACGAACCCGCTGTTGGCAACATCGTTCGAAGAGTCTTGGGAATAATACGAGAAGAAGATGAAGACGACGCCGCAGGCACAAAAGGAGGGGATGAGTTTAGCTCAGTTGGCGGTGATACAGAGATCGAGTCTCCGGCGACATCTGAACCTGCACAATCAAGATACCTCCCTCATGCGATCGTTAACGGCGATTCTTCCAGCCCTTCGCCTCAGATAGGCACTTCGAGTCCCCGTCCCCCGTTACTCAGCTCGCGCACTGGTGTCCCAGAAACTGCTCGTCCTGTGACCTCTATGTTTAGCATCAATGCGCATCCGACAATGCGGATGCTAGGAGGACCAAATGACTCGCCATTAAGCCGCAGCGGCCAGGCTACCCCACAGATGCATGCTTCAGGTATATTCCAATCGAATATTCGACCCGAAGTGATCAAAGGGATCAAAGAGATCATTGACGAAATCAATGCCGCGGACGATGAAATTGCCACTGCCGCACTCGACCAGATTCACCCACAAGAGACCATTTTCACATACTCCTCTTCCTTGACTGTTCAGCGGTTCCTTCTTCGAGCCGCCTCGAAGCGAAAGTTCACGGTTGTTCACGCTGAAGCATATCCTAACAACCACCTGAAGACGCACGCCTTACTTAGTGGGAACCAAGAAGCTGTCACAGAGGATGACGACAACCTTCCCAACGACTCCTTTTCCAAGACGTTGACTTCAGCCGGCATCACGGTCGTGATGATTCCTGACTCGGCAATCTTCGCAGTTATGCCTCGCGCAAGCAAGGTCATACTAGATGCCCACGCCGTTTTGACGAACGGATCCATAGTTGTCGCAGCAGGAGGCAAGGCTGTCATCAAAGCGGCAAAATTCCACCGCATTCCTGTCATCGTTTTGGCAGCGACATACAAGCTCTCTCCAGCATACCCATACGACCCATTCAACTTGATCGAGTACGGTGAGGCCGGAAAGGTGGTACCATTTCAAGCGGGTGAGTTGCGCCACGGACTAGCAGAAGGAGCGAGAAATCCGCTGTATGACTTTGTCGAGGCAGGAGACGTCGACTTGTTCGTGACGAATGAAGTCCCTGCCGTCGTGAGCACGGGTTATCTCTACAGGGTCGTGAGGGAACAGTACCGAGATGAGGACTTACAGCTGTGAGGAAGTTTTCTGGGCCAACACGCGTTCTCTGTTGAACTTGGTTACCAGAGGCTTTCCTGTCAGACGTCAAGAGTAAAATGTTAGGATGGAAAAGAACTTGATACCCCCCTGGGACATATTATGGCTTTGGTGGGTTTTTAGATTGTTTGTAGCGTCTGCTGCGCTTTTGGGTCTCCAGCACCATACCTATGCTATACAAAATGCAAAGATGGAGCATTGCATGACGGCCGTCTATCGAACCCCTGAAGCCCCTGACACATTGATGATAATACACTTTTCAGACAAGTTCCTTTTTCACATGCATAGAGTTGATAGAGAGCTCTCTATGAAGGGACGGCTTTGTCTTCGCC